ACACACACACACACAAATATGGAAAGTGAACAGTTTCACCCTCCTGTTATGTTCGTTTCTGAGGTGCAGCAATAACGTTCCTGGGTCAATTTGACCCACAACATAACAGGAGTGTTGAGTTCTGCAGGCAATCATTGTTTCCTTCATCTTCTCTGTTCACAGCAGTTTATAGTATGGCTTCGGGCTTTGGCTCAAAGATTTAAATCTGAAGCCCTGCAACTCAAATACAGCTTCACTTTCATAGGTTCGTTTCGTTTCTTCAGGCCCCTGAGGTAGCTTGATTTTTGTGCGATCTGTGATCGAGCCAAATAAACAAAAAGCAGAATTTGCTTCTTTTTTTTTTTTTTTTTTTTTTGTTCCTTCAGAGTAGTTTTAGATAAGCAATCTATTTTGGTAAATGTTGTGGTGAAATCTTTACTTCTTTAAAAAGAAATACACCATAGATAGCAAAGAAATTCTGTTAAACAAAAAATATACATGGTTTTCATTATAAACAATATCTTCAAACACATATTTCTTCAATTTACAAATGAAAAACAGTGTAGTCATGCCACAACAAATAAAGCATATAATGGTATGGTAATTAATCATGCAATGTACATGCAATTTACAGAGACCAGTTAATGTGGCAGCCATCTTTCTGGACTATGTGATGAGCACAGGGAGAACAGACATGTTTTATGTGAAACCTTCGTATTGCGAGGCAGCAAAGCCAACTAATGCAGCCCAACTTTGTAAATTTGTTCTGTTGAGACTTTCAAGCACACAATACTAATACAACCTTCCTTTGTGAAAGCATTGCTTCAGTGTTTGCTGACAGTAGTTAGTTAGTCACTGCAGATCTTTCCCATTGTTTTTTAAACTTGGAACTGAAACACCGTTAGTTTACTTTCAGATGCAAATTGCATTGAACTGTTTTTTTTGTTGTTGTTGTTGTTTTTTGGGGGGGGGTTTATTCCCCACCTCAAATTACTAAAACCAACATCCTAGTCTTTAGATTTTAGTGACTAAACGTCTCATAGGCTGACATTTACCTGTCTCTAGAGAGGAATAATCAAAAGAATAGTATTGTTTAGTTTGTCACAATGACTCAATTTATTCTGCGCAAATCAAGTGTAATAAAATATTCATATTCTGAACATTTATGAAACGCGAATGTTATAATTTTGGATGTAGCTAGTATTGATCCAGTATCTCTTTTCAACCGAGCTATTCTTTTCTCTCCTGATTGCATTGACAGTTTTTGCCCAGATAATAGATCAACACATTGATTAAATAAGATAAATGCACTGTAACAGTATGATCAATTGTCATACTGAGTCTGAGAAAGATGGAAAATTAACTGTTACTTTCGTGAATATATAGGAGTGTTTAAAAAAGAGCATTATTGGATGAAGCATGAACAGCCAAGGTGTCTCTGTAAATCCACCCATGCTGTTCTGTCCTTGTATGTGGTGCCCTCTGGAGGCAATACAATTGTATGCAATTTGAAAGAATGATGGGAATACGTCAGCATCATGTTTTTCTCTCTATCATCCCTTGTGACAAAGCCACCACACAGGGGGAGGGGGGTTTTCTCTGCTGTGGCGATGTGAGTTCCAGGGCCCCTCATGGGCCCTCATTGGCAGTGAAATGCCCCATGCCTGCAGGTCAGGGGACCACCGGCTGCTCTGACTCCTCAAACAGACCTGAGGAGGTCTCTCAACTTTGCACACAGATGGCATCAAAGGCGTGCACGAACAGCATGAAGGTCACAGAGGGATCTGATGTCAGCACATTGTGTTCACAAGGCGACTGTTGTGTACATTCCCAGCAAACAAATGAGCAGATATTGTTTGTGGATCTGTGCACAGAAACAGAAACGGGGCACAGACTGATTTTGGGGCTGGGGTTGGAGGAGATGATGTATTTTCAAACTTACAAGGTTTTAACTAATCCTATCAGACACATAGAGCTGCAAAGTTGAGTGTTGCCAAAAAGAGTTCTGCAGGTTTCTTATAAAAGCTTGGAATCAAAAAGAGTTTTTTTTTTCCATTACATTTATTATACAAGAGGTGGGATACACAGAGGATGAGAAGATGCACCCTAAATCCCAAATAGAATATAATCCTTAGAGTTGTAGAACTAATTTTATGGTGTGATTTTTTTTTTTTTTTCCAGATTTGCCACTAAAAAGTGGTTCTGATGCAAAACTGACTGTCAAATAAATTTTCTTGCATAGAACTAAACAGGCTGCTTGTCCCAACATCGGTTTTTGTTGTGGTAAAAATCAGACTTCATTCTGTATCTCCCTATTTTTTCGTGGTCTGTTTAAGGCCCTTTCTGGCATCATTATATAAGATAAACTTCCAAGTCTTGCATTTTTTGCAAGTGAGAGTTATTCCATGAGCCTCTGCAACAATAGCTAAACAGTTTTCTAATCCAAATATTTTTTTTGCAGATTTCGCATGGAAGGTAAAATGTGAACATATTTTATATCTTTCCTTTGTTTCCTCTTAACCATAGCTAATCCCCAATTGTATATTTAACCAGGAAAGTCCCATTGACATGAAAAACCTCTTTTTCAATGTAGATCTGGTCAAGAAGTGGGAAAAGTCACCTGTCCTCTCAAATTCCCTGTTGCTAAGACTAAGCTAGCCTGTTAAAAATCGTCATCATCATTTTCTGCATCACATTTATTTTATTCTTTTAGAAACCTGCATGATTTACTTGCCAGATGTATTGGCCAGGTCCATGAACATAAACAAAGAATTAAACTTCCATTTCACATCAGATACACAGTGTTCTCCATTCAGATTACTGGCTTATGCAGAGCTGATCCAGTCATTTCAATTCCATGTGTTGGAGCAAACATGCATGATACCTGTAGTACTGAGAGTTAAACTTACTGTATGCATTTTGTTCTTGGCCCCAGCTTAGAAATTGTATTTTGGCTCCATCTAGTGGGCGTCTCTACTCAATAGAAATTGCACACAAAAGAAAAAAAAAAAGACATTCAAACTGCAATAGCATATTTATTTTTTTATATAAATCTACAATGCAGAGTTTAACGTAGAGAGCCTATAAACAAAAGAAGAGGCTTTCTAAGCTTCACCTACATGCCTCTAATCCATTAATCAACTTACTTTAACCCATCTGCCATGCATTCCCCCCATAAACAGTCAGCAAGCAAAATTACAGCATTTTCAAAAAGATTAAAAGAAAATAAAAATAAAAAATAAAAAAAAACAGCTGAACATCATGATTCTTCTTCAAAAGCTTAGCACAAAAGGAAAGTTGTTTTTCTTCTAAACGGTAAATGGTTTAAATCAGCACCTCACAGAGAACCTGCCACATCCCCTCAAGAGTTTAACGTTTGACTACAGACTGAACACAACAGGCTCTGGGGTATTCTTAGGCAAATTCACCACTTCCTGGGCTGCTGGATGCAGAAGGTCCGGGGGCAGTGAGACCTTTCCACAGCAGGGCGCACCTTGCTGTGCCTCACGCTCACAGGGGTCTCTGGAAAGTCATGACTCAGCTGTAAAATATCAAGCAGGGGTTTTATGAATTAGCAACTATGGAAATCTAGATGGAATTCAATTAAGCAAGCCAAATAAATAGATTCTTTTTTATTATTATTATTATTAACCTTGTCAAGAGTCCCAGTCAGAAGAAGCCCGACTTGTTGCATCCTGTTGGAGGTGGCAAGAGACCGGCTGCACAGGTTTGAAGAAAAGAAAAGAAAAACAAACGAGATTCACTTAATTAGCCAAGGCTTCTTAGTTCAGCCAGGGCAGTGGCGTAGGGCTGTACCTGAGTTTATCAGACCTCTTTGTCTCTTTCTCAGGAGTCCCATGGGCAGATCCGTCCTCCAGGGTTTTCTTGGCAACTCGTTTTCCTCCTGCCTTCACTAACGACGATAAAATATAAAAGGGGTGTTCATTTCAGTTCTGACTTTATGCATTATGTACAAATAAATGTAACTTGTTTTAAAATGTGGCCATCTTAAGGTATTCTGCTGGGTTACTTGAAAGTTTGAAAGAACGCGAGTTGCAGAATGAGTTTTAAGTCAGTGGGCGGGGCTAAGATGGATATAGAGGAGCCCATTGGTTACTAATAACAGGTTTACCAATCATTCGCAAGGGGGAGTGTCTGACGAGCCCAAAATCATTTCGAGAAGGACTGTAGCAGAACAAAAATATGTACGGAATAATTTGATTTATCTGAGATGAACTAAACTGTTTTTAATTAATGGGTTTCTGAAGTAATGTGCATTTCAATGATTTTGTGTATTTAAATATTTACACAAGTTTAATTTTAGTTGCATGTTTAAAAAAAATAAATGAGTAAAGTTATATTTTGGATCTTGGTAGATTTGAAACCTCGATGCATTAGCATTAGAAACTAAGCTGCCGCAGTAAACTGATTAACACCTTGTGTGCAAACTGCGCCCGCAGGAGCGGAGTTGTCACGTTTTTTTACGCCACAAGGCCTTTAAAAGAAAAAAAAAAAAACATCCGACAACATCCGGACGCTTTTCAGCAAAACGTCTTGCAGAGAGGTGAACTAATAATAATGCAACCCAACAAACATGAAAACCAGAACCATTTCAAAACCGCAGCAGCAAAGTCGAGCTATTGTTTGTTTTTCTGCATGGCTGTGTATCTGGGTCAGACAGCACAAGGACAAAAGCGCTTTGATTAAACCTAAAAACAACAAAACAAGCACCTACAAAAGTTGATGTGAACATCTGTTTACCTGCTGGCGGGTGCCCAGCTTTGAGCAGATGAGCGTCTTTTGCTCCGGATTTGGAGAGTTGTTGCACCATTTTGTTGGAAAGTTTCCGCAGCGCAGAGAAGATCCGCAGCAAAGTGCTGTGAACGCCCACTCGCTTGTTTTTATGCTCAGAATCTACAGGAAGCCGCAGACACGCCCATCATTTCAATCTTTCTCTCTCTCTCTCTTTAAAAACAAACAGATGTTGAAACTATTTAAGAAGAACTGAAACCAGAACAAATGAAGCCAGAAGAACACTGGTTCTCAAACACTCAACCAGTTTGTTTCACTTGTTGTTAATAACGTGTAGTTTTCTTGCAAAAGTGGCTTCCCTCTCATCTTAAGTTTTTTCCCCCCCTCTCAGTGATATGCTCTAGACATTATGCACATAGCCAACCAAAGCTGTGGCTTTTTTTTTTTTTTTTCCAAATGGGCCTATAGAAAAGTAATCTCACCTGAAAAGGTTTCCTCTGTTTATATTCTGACTTTTCCAGACATACAATTAAAATTTCCATTTGACATAGATCTGAATCTTATGAAATGGGAGGCAACTTAAGAAAAGGCCATTTCACCATTTTTCTCTGGTCTTTTACTCACAAACCAGGTTCCGTTCAAAGCTACTCATATGTGCTAGACTAATATTCTATAAAATAAGAAGTGTGAGTTATTAAATATGTATTGAATTCACGAAACTAAAATTGACACTGAATTTTTTTTTATTGTTGGCATTTAGACGACAGTGACTTTCAAAAACAAGAACTCTCCAACTACAAGGTTTGCCTCAATTTTTTTAAAGTGTATTTTATTTGAGTTGTATTGTTTTAAATTGCAAAGTTACCCATAATTTTTAAACTTTTTTTTTTATTATTATTATTATTTTACAAGTAAACACCTGAAAAATTGTCAGCTTTCACCTCGGTACCCATAAAGCCTAGTGCAACCATTTTCTTTAAGTGGTCACCTAATAAGTTAATGGAATTCACCTCAGTATGAATTCGGCTGTTTTCTTCTGGCACCAATTTCATTTCCACTTGATGACAGTAATGCACGTTCACACTGGCTGCCTAAAAACATCCGCAAAAGAAAAAAAGGAAGGAGGCAATCCTGGAAAATCCTGATATCTCCTAGAATTTTCTTTGAAACACAGGTTTTGGTCTGTCTTAAGTTATATTGGTTTCTTCTTTTTTTTTATTCAAAAAAGGATGCTTCGGTGCTCATGTGAGGCTTGATCTGATGAAAGACCATAAACAACGATGTCGTAGTGTATCTGACTTCATTGCATCGTCATTAAGTTCTATAAGATAAGTTTTATTAGATTTAGTTGCATATGAAATCCCTCACTCATGATAAGGTCCGAAGAAGCTAAACTGAAAGCATCAGCTGAACTTGAGCAAGTTGTTAGAAAGAGACCTGCAGGTGGATAAATTTATTTTTGGTAGAGTACAAATAGAACCTTACGTGTTTTATTGCGGAAAGTAATAATTCCTTTCAGCTCGCATTTCTTTCAGCCACACCTTTTCCAGAGCATCTGCCTACCTTCATTAATCAGGCAGCTGATCAAAAACAATGCTAAAAAAAAAGTTCCTTTTGAAGCAATTTAAAAAAAAAAAAAAAAAAACGGGAAAGCTGGTGAAAAAATTTTATATGGACAAATCCCTGCTTTTGTCAAATAAAGTGAAAAATGTGTTTTCTATTTGCAGTCATGATGAGCTCCAAATGTTTCCCTTGTTCAGTCAATTGCTTTGTTGCAATTGACTGAACAACATAAAGAACATAACACATACTCAGACACGACACGGAAACTAACAAAAGTATATTTAATAGAAAATACATTAAAAAATTTGGATTGTCAGGTAAAAAAATACAAGAATAAACAGGCATGCAACACGTCTAGGGACATATTGTGGTTTTAAAGGATAGTACTTGTAGTTTTTGAAGGAGCACAGTGATGCATGCAGAAATAATGAATTTCCAGCCTAGAGTTTAGACGCTCGCCTTTGTGACACTGCTGCAGTATTTTCCAATATGCTCTTTTTTGCTTGCACAGCTTTTAAATTGTCTTGTTCCGGTAGGTGGATGACAGGTTTGTGTTATTGTAGAAAAGCAACAATCAGGTTTTCTAAAATTTTCTATTTCTACTTTCCTGACTTCTAACATATCAGATGTGTCTTTTGATGAGAAACTGGCCCAGAGCATCGCAGATCCTCTGCCATGAAAAAACCCCAAAATGCTTTCCCACCTATTCACTGAATCAAGTTGGTTTGTCGCTTTTAAAACTCAATATTAGCCTCGTCTGACCAAAGAACCCAACTCCAGTTAAAAGTGTCAGCAGTTTAGTAAACTACATACATTTACATCTGTTATGGTAGAACGGGAACATCCCATGCAACTGTCAGGCCTACAGGAGGCTTACATTGGTTGCTATGGAGACTTGATGACCTCAAGATGCCACGTTTTGCTGCTGAGATTATCTGTCTGAAATAAAGTGATTCTGTGCTTTTAAAGCATCTGCTGCAAAATAAATATGTCCTACACTGTACCTACGATGTTAATATTGACATCATGAAGGTATATTTTAAACTTAAAACTTGCAGACATTTTCACAAATAAGCCACCACTCATGAGCATAATCCTGTGGTTTAAAAAAAAACACGATTTAAGTTTATATATATTTTAATGATGTCTTTGCACAGGTGTAGGCTTAGTGTTGGGTTTAGAGTACATAAAGCATCAGGAGCTTTACAGATGGTTCAAAGCCTCCTTCATTCACCCACGTCTGTGCAAACATCAAATGAAACCCTCAGACTGTAGGAGGGCACGGCCCTCAGGTCTCTCTGAACACTTCCACGCCATTGGTTAGAATAAGGAGAATCACACAACTGGTTTAAAAAACAAAAATGACCTTTTATTTTGTTCACATAGTTGTTACGATGCCATCTTTTTCCACATATCTGTATATTTATATATCTTTAGAACATGGCACAAGTTGTTTAGTCTTTTAACCAGTGCTAATGTGTAAACCAAAGTAATGCTGATTTTTGTCTGTATTTACAATAAAATCAAAGAAATGTACAAGACTCCATTGCATTACACAGTTTCGACATTAAGTACAGATAAACTTTGATCCCTCTGTACAATCTAACATCATTAGTTAATTAGTCTTTTTTATTTTTTATTTTATTTCTTTACAAATGAGTTCATGATCCGTTTTGGCTTCAGCACATACATTTTCCCCCCACATCTTGACTCGTACCGCGGACCCTCGCTAACATGACTCACACCTTTAACCATGCTCTCACACTTATGAGTTCCTTGAAGAAAATTAAAGCTAATATCTACACACGACATGACACACGTCTTCTCACGATAGTGTCCTGGATTCTCCCTCGACGTCGCCCCTACCCCTCCCTCCCCCTGCCATGATTCCATCTTACTCTTGAAATGAAAAATAATCTTTAAAAACATTCCATGATTTCCCTCTTTGGCACACATCCCGTCTTTCCATCTGCTGCCGCTCTGCTGAACTCACCTCTCCATACAAGCACATCCACTTTAAAACAAACACACTCATAAAGCCAAGTTCATGAAAGAAGTTTCCTGTGTTGCTCCTTGCCTCTGCTGCAGGGTGAAAGAAGAAATCGGTCTGGAAAAATGTTCTCAAGATTGTACAGCAGATCCGTCTGCGGACTTATACCCAGGAGTCAGGAGAACCTGGGTACTGTTCTGCCCTGTAGGAAGGCCTCCGTGTGCTAGCATAGTAGTCCACATAGTTAGAGGTGGATTTCAGTCCATGAGGCTGGGAGCTGTAGTCTGCTGTAGGAGGGTAGGTGATGACTTCTTCTAAATACGCATCGTCGTAGCCGTGGGGATGCTGCAGGTACATCCTGTATGTGTCGTAATTCCTTCGACACGGCTCTTCTGTGTAATACACAGCCTGCAAGAAAAGAGGCGGGGAGGCCTTGCGTTAATTCATTCTTAGGATTTGTATTAATGAAGTTTTTCCAAAATGAATTTACTCTAAATTCCTTGATTAAATGCAGTGTTCACAGTTAGAAGCCCATCACCAAATCTAAGACCACTTTGTGGTTTCCATGAACCCCAAGAACATCTCCAAGGGGATTCTGCTGGCAGCAGACAGGGGAGACTTTACCTCTTGTGTTTACTTCTATCTTTACCATTCTTGGAGATCTTTTGGTATCATGTGAATCAGGTCATGTCATAAATGCCAAATCTTTCCAGTGGAATTGCTCAAGGCTGTATTCTTGGCCCTAATGTTTTTTTTTTTTTATTACTTAATGTACATCTGCTTGGATAGACTCCAAGGAGTCCATCATAATGACTGTTATCATTTTTATACTGATGAGATCCAACTGTTCTGTTCATTAGTGAGGTCTCAGAGTCATACATTGTTGATGTTGCTGTTAATATAGATACCATACGTTTACTGGCAAAAATGCTGAGATAAAATACTTGCAGAGTTGCCAGCCCAAAATAGACTTGGTTTGGATGCTGCTTTGGTGTGAGGCCAGAAAAGCCTGTCATCACACACTTCGTTGATAAGCTAGCCACCAGGATACCATCACACAAGCTTTGTGCATGCTCAGAACAGTTAAGGAACACAAACACATCATGATGAGCACACTGTGTTTCTGATGTACCACCTGAAGAACCCACAGGAACCCTGTTTACTTTGTTAATGTCTTGTTGTGGGCTGGGTCTACTGTGAATGTGACATTGTGCTGGAGTCTGCAGCCTACAGATTCTGAAATGCAAATGTTTTCTTGCTTAAGCATCCTAAAATGTAAGTAAGTTATTTTTTTTTCATTTTTAAATAGAATAAAGCATTATGGAAGCCAGAATCCTTAAGGAAGTATGACCGTTTTACTATATAGACTTAACTGCTTTAGGATTAGCTTTATATTTCTTCATAAAACAGAAAGGAATCTTTATGGACTTTCTAACTTAGTACACACATAATCTGGTACGTACATATACTCTGATATTCAGTTTGATGTGATCTACCAATGCAGGTACTGTCATTTAGCTTTGGTAACTCTAGTTTGACTATTTTCAAATCCAATTAAATTCAAAAATACTTTACTGAT